TACAAACCACTGTGACTTTTTTTCCATCGAAATGAATCACAATTCCAAGATGGTTCGATCGATGTTCACTACATATGATTGTTCGAACCATAGGGATTTGTTTCGTCTTCTCCTTCTTTTTCTTGTTACCAAAATTCACATGTCTCTTCATCTTCCTTTGGATTTAACAATTCACATATGCTCAACCATATGATGAGGAACATTGATTATGTTTCCGGTACCGATTATTTGCCTATTAAAGATAATCCTCATCTTACTAGTTTTGTTCACTCAAACAATCACTAATAGGTATACTTCTATTGTTCATACCAATACACTTGATGTTGTTTAATATGATATTGAACGTGTCAAACGTGCCATGGATTTTAAACCCAATATCAGGATCCTATTTTACGTCCTCCAAATTTTTTTTGATAAACAATACGAGATTTTGACTCATGAGCCTCTTAACATCATTTTTCCGCGCCAAAATTCTACAAATCGTCAAAATTTAAATATGGTTTCCTTGTCATTCAAGCAGAACCATGATCAAAATATTTGTCATGAGAGTCAATCTTTGAAAAAAGTCCCCAAACAAACAATTTTTTTTGAAAAATCTAATAATTATATAGATTTTGAAAAACACGAGAAAGGTGACGGTCGGACACATAGTCTACCGTATAAAAAATATGGTCCATATACATGTCCCAAGTGGAACGGTGAATTCAATACTTCTCAACAATTTGCTGCACATATGTCATCTCACTACAAGAATGAGACAAACAAAGAAAGAAATCACAGGCTTCATGCAAAGAATTAAAAAAATATATATCGTAAATTGAATCCTGAAGTTTGTGGAGAATCTCAAAAGATCAAACCAGAAAATGGAATTAGTAATGGTGGAAAAAGTGCCAATGAAACTATTCAACATCTTGGAATAGTAAAAGAAGAGATTGTATAGAATTTATTTTCTTAGTATCTTTCTCAACGTAATGCATATTGTCTTCTCTTTCTAGTATTTTATTATATATGTTGTTATAGGGATTGGTGGATATGCGTATTGTGTTTTTTTTTTACTCTTCATATTTTTAAGTTATTTGCTCTCGCTCTCTTCCTCATTATTTTTGGAAAATATATCATGTTAGATTGTGTCTCCCGTTTAAATATATTTAAGTATATCGCAAAATTTCAATGCAAATTACTTCACAATAGAAACTTAATATTTCTTTTAAATAATACTAAAGAATAAATTATTGGAAATAAATATGTTCTACATGATTAACACCATTATGTCATTTGATTGATTGTAAATATCTTAACATATAAAATTATATTTGTGTTTATGGTTTCAATGGCAATTCGTTAATGTCAGTTTAGGATTGGTTAAATCTTCGAACTATTGATAAGATTCTTCATAAGTAAGTGGTTGTAGAGTTCATGGGCCATTTTTAGTTTTCCAAAAAAAGCCCAAGTCAATTATCAAAACCGAACATAAAAAATCCTGAGTTTTATGTAATGTTTTTCTACTATCCAAGAAAAGAAAAGAAAATACGTTTTTTATTTTATGAAAAAGCAAACACTAATCTGGTTTTGTAATGGAATCGATTGAATTGACATTTTTATCTGTAGACTCTTTCTCTAGTAAAGGAGCATCTACATTATAATTTTATGATTAAAAGACACAAGTAAAATGTAATCATTTTGTAGTATTCCAAAAAAGGAAGACAATATATAAAGTTGAAAAATATGGAAAAGAAATGGAGAAAGATGACTTTAGCGGCATGAATCAGATTATATTGTCTCCTTGGATCCTTTGGTCGTTCGCTACTTCGCTTCTTCAAAGATGGACTTTTTGTCTTATCATACAACTTTTCTCCCTTTTAAATATGAAAATATATACCTTTATTGTTAGGATGAATTCTTGTTTCGAGCGGTAACTTTTGAAATTTGTTAATACAAATTATTTTCTGCTTAATAGAATTCAGTAGTTAAGTTAAAAGATGATGGTAAAACGTAGAGTATATAAACAGAAAATAAACGTATTCTCAATACATAGAGTATTTATGAATAAAGACAAAAAAAAATTCCAAAAAAGAAACGTAGTTTATGGTCAAAAAAGAAAACAATTTAGACAGAATTTTGTTGTTTTGTATTTTAATTTAGCCGTTTTCTCGACCTTTCAATTTCACAGGTGTTTGACTTGTACAGGCCTCACACATGGTTATGTCTTTTGTTTTTGTACAAACTATCTCATTCCTATTAATTAAGATCGATTATTCAATAAACTCTCAAGTCAAAATGGTTATATCACAATTCAATCTCTTGTTTATGATTGCTAGCACACTAACACTCCACATGTATCACAGGGATTTCGCTTACTACTATATGTTATTTTGGTTAATACCATTTGTGTGCTTAAATACTTGAAATCATAACATAAAAATACGTATTCTCGACTACTCTTTCAGTAGAATGATGTGCAACTTTTCCTTCACCATTGCCAACATCTCTGCAAATCCAGCCTCTTAGACGTCCCTTTAACTCATTTGGGTTGCTTTTTGAAAACGCAAAGTTTTAACATACCATCAATCATACACATTATGGCCAATCTTATATATAATGACAATCAAAGTTCATTTGACAATCTTATATATACAGATTTTGGCTTAACTGCCACCACGTGAGAACCAAATCTCACTTTGCCAAAAGCTGAGACCAAATCTTTTTTTCAGCATAAACGTGAAAATTTCTTTTAAACTAATTACAGTATAATTTAACTAGGTAAGGAAGGTTATGGGCAAAAAAAAAAGTAAGGATTCGTATAAATAACTTTTTTTGCAGTTGTCAAAAAAAAACAAGATGATTAGTAAATCTAGTGTCGGTATAAAGCATATAAAGCAGGGAAATATTTTACAATTTTATAGTATTAATATATTGTAGATATACGAAAATGTTTGCACTTATATAGAAGCAGAAGAGTCACAACAGTTCTCATTTGATAAATGCTCCACACAAAACAAAAAAAAACAAGAAAAAAAAATGACAAAACGTTTCAAATTAAAGATTTCAAGAATCCTCTCATTCAAATCTTGCCGTTCAAAAGATCCTTCTTCTCTTCCTATTAATCCTGTTCCTTCAAGTCTCCGACGTACTCCTCCACCGGTTAACTCCTCCACCGTCGTCACCACCGTGCCAAAACGTCGTCGTTCATCTTTCAGACTACATGTGTTAACCGTGTTTGGCTGCGGACGCTCGTCCTCGCTGTTGGATGTTGATATGAGTAATTCACCGGCGTTATCTCCGCCGCAAACGCCGACGTTTCAGTGGGAAAGTGAAGGGAAGTGGCACGTGATTGCTCAAGTGACTGAAGAAGAATACGAAACGCCTCGTCGGAAAATATACGACGGTGGGTCGGAGAAAGATAATCGCCGGCGTTTAAAGAAGAAGGAGAAATCAACCTCTCGGCGGCGAGGGAGCGTTTCCTCCGCCGAAGAAGAGACGGATAGAGAGAGTCTCTTACCATCTTCTACAAACCTCTCGCCGGAATATTCCTCCTCAGAGCTGCCACGTGTTACAAGACGACGGAGAAAACTTCTCAAGAAGGCGGTGATTGAGGAAGAAAGTGAATCATCATCACCGCCACCGTCTCCGGCGAGGCTGTCTTCGTTTGTTCAAAGATTGATGCCGTGTACGACGGCGGCTGCGGTTATGGTGGAAGGAGTGGCGGTGGTGAAGAGATCGGAGGATCCATACGAAGATTTCAAAGGATCAATGATGGAGATGATAGTAGAGAAGAAGATGTTTGAAGTAGCTGAGCTTGAACAGCTTCTTAGTTGCTTCCTATCGCTAAACGCGAAACGCCACCACCGCGCGATTGTTAGAGCGTTTTCAGAGATTTGGGTAGCTTTGTTCGCCGGTGGTAATGGTGGTGGTGGTCGGAGGTCGTCTTCCTTCTCGAGTGTTCGACTCTCGGATTACGATGAGTGTTAAAAATAATAATGTTAGAATCCTATGTTTATGATAATGTCTAACTAAATTCTACTTTGAAATTTTAAGTTTTAGTGGACGATGTAAATAAATGTTAATGTAAATTATGCGGCGGTGCAATTATTAAAACTTTAATCATTTATATGCGTAGGCTAATTAAAATATGTATTTGTACGATTTAGATTCTAATGCTTAGATTGCATATATTCATATTCACACGCAATAATTGCTTATCAAAAATTTCACTTTTTTACTAAAGTTATGTATACAAAATAGTTTGAACCAACCCATGAAGTGTAGAACTGTGGGTTTCACATTTTACACCATACAAGAAGGCTTAGATAGGAACAGATGTTCACTTTTTGGATTTTTAAATGCTTAGTAGATGACACTTGGACGGTCGATGTGGACCATTTCGAGTCAGCAAACGAAGTGACAAATGATTGAAATCAATAAGAGACAAAAGTTTAATTAAAATTGAATATTTGTCCTTTACACTTACACCACAAAACATATAGAGAGATGTGTCTCTCTCTCTATCTTCAGTGTTTTTAGGGTTTTTAAGACTGAAGCTGAATCATCATCACAATTCACAGAGTCTGATTCTCAAGATGAAATGGTCAGAGAGACTATTGGAGTTTGGAGAATGGGTCCATAACTTGAAAAACAAGCCACCTCTGTTCCTTCACTGATCACTCCTCTTGTCTTTTTTTCTTGTTTAGAGTAAAAAGCAACCTCAAAGGTCAGAAGTTAAATTATTGAGATTTTACAGCACAGTTTTGGTAAATATTAAAGCACACGGCATCAGAGATTCTGCAACACAAACAAGAAATAACATCACTAAAAACCAGACACACATTGGCACTAATTTCTACGCTCTCTCTCTCTCTCTCTAAACCGAAGATAAGAGATTCTCTGCAGACAAGACAATATAGAATATTAATTGTGTTTTTTTTCTCTCTCTCTGACTCTCTCCCTAAGGTTTCATTGAATCTAAAAGGCAAAATCCTTGTGATTACTTGTCATGAAAGAAAGGGTTTACAAATAGTTGATTTGGTTCAAGACTGAAGAGATGATTACTATCAACCTTGGTGTGGTGGTGGTGGAGGCATAGACATGTGATGGTGTTGGTATGGTGGTGGTTGTTGTTGTGGTGGTGGTCCACCTTGCTGCTGCATGTGTTGCGGTGGCCATCCTCCATGTTGGTGCATTCCCATGGCTTGAGGTGGTGGCGGCGGCCTCGGACCACCGAAACCTTGTTGGTGATTTAGAAACTGAGGAGGTGGTGGCGGAGGCATACCTTGAGGCGGACGGAATTGCATGGGCGGTGGGACAAAGCCCTGTTGTTGTGGCTGAGATGGCCAGGATGGTGGCTGAGTTTGATATACTTGTGGAGGTGGTGGTGGTGGTTGACGGGGGGCTGGGATCGGGACAGGTTGCATGCTGCCGTTAGCAAACGGACGTGGTAGACCATTAACTTGAGGAGCATTGGATGGAGGGCCACTTGCGAATAGCGTATGGGGTCTGCTTTTCTGGGCAGTTGGATTTGTGGCTGCCAAAAGCCTCTCTGTAATTCACAACAGTAATGTGTTATTGATCCAATGATGGAGAGAAACTGAATCCATAAGTTAAGAAAAGAGAATGTAGAGCCTAACCTGCTGGAGTACCATGGCGCTCTCCTTTGGTGTCTTTCTTGTATGCGTAAGAGACTGTTATTTGACGATTACTGAGATATTGTCCAGTCATTGCCTGCAATAGTCAGACTAAGATCAGAGGAATATACTACCATTGGATTAGGTAATCGGAGAAGTTATGTGTGTGAAATATATTGGGCTCCTTCTCGTAAGCAAGTTCATAGAACTGAGAGTTATAAAAGAAGCAGATAATTACCTCGATAGCGGCATCAGATGCCTCAAAGGAGTCATAGCTGATGAAACCAAAACCTCGTGAGTTTCCAGTATCGGGATCTCTCATTATCTGAAATGAAAAGTTTCTAACCTTAGGGTCTAAATCGCAAGGCCATTCTTTTTCCGAAGCGGAATGATGATGAATGGTATTTTACTATCGCATTGGTAACAGTAGACAGATAAAGAGATCAAGAATCAGGGACTGAAATCTAATGAAATAAAAATACTACCTTAGGATTAGAAGCAATCACACCAAATGCACTGAAAGTATCATACAACAGCTTCTCATCAACATCCTATAAAACAAAACAAAACCTGGTCAGCTACGAGATTAAATTAGCTTTGTAGAGTATCAAAATCAGCGTATACCACAAAAGATACTTACAGGGTCAAGGTTTCCAATGAAAAGGTTAGCACCAACATCCAAGCTTTTCTTATCTTGAGATGCCTAATACAATTTCAATCAGCAAACAAAATGTTAGCAAACTCATACGAGATAAATTAAACAAGTCTCTGCATCAAAACTCACACAATCCATCTGCTCGATACTAAACAATGAAAGTTACAGAAACAATTCGATACCTTGTTAACACGAATAGGCTTCCCGTGGAGCTTAATCATGTTGAGAACCTTAATCGCCTGCACGAAAACATCGAAATTTCTTAACCATTGTACCAAAAAAGTAGCCTAAAAAACTCCTCACAGAGCAACACTTACATAGTCCGCATCTTCCTCACTACGATATTCAATGAATCCATAGTTCTGATGAAGATTTGTCACTCTATCTTTCGGAACATAGACATTAACTGATACAATCCAAAAACCAGAATAAGTTCCACTAAACAAAAGCCATTAGCTAGTGAAGAAACTTAAGGAGATATTGATATGAACTTACCAACAGGTCCAGCTTGAACGAACAATTCCCAAAGCAATTCTTCAGAAAGCTGAGATTCAAAGAGGAAATCGAATCAATTTCACTAAAGTCACAGAGGAAGATGAATCATTTCGCGAAACCTAAAAGTTAAGAACCTGAGCATCGAGATTGCCGACGTAAACAGTGGCGTCTTGGTTCCTCTCAGCGGAGTGTTGGCCGAGAAGATTAGCTCCAACACCAGGAGCGATTCGAGTCGTCATCTTCTTCTTCTCTTTGTTTCGTTACTCCGTCGCCGATTGAGAAATCTGAGGTTTTCAATTTCGTCACTTCTGGCAATTTTTCTAGAAGTTAACGGACGGTGAAGAAAGAGGAGGGTTTTATTTGGTAGAGTGGTGCCGTCACTAATGGGCTGATAAGCCCATTAAGCTTCTCTTTAGATCCACTAAGATATTTAGCTTATTTATTTTAATTAGTATAAGTTTTCAAATCCTACAAATTTTTATGAGAAGAAAATATAACGATCGGTCTATAAGAAGAGGCAACAACATGATCTCTGTGAGGAAAAAAACGAGCAGGAAATGCAAATTTATGGTTCAAATCTGGGATCGTTAAACAAAATAAAAGTGATGGAAAAAATGTTTCTTTTTGCTTTGTGTTTCTTTTTCTTAAGATTTCGGTCTTTATCCGCTAATTAAACAATCAAATGCTTTGCGGTTCTCTTTTTGCTTTGTGTTTCTTTTTCGTAAGTTTTCGGTCTTTATCCGCTAATTAGAATATTTTGTAAGAAAATCACTCAAAACAAGAAAATATTCTTTGAAACAAATTTATTGATATCCATGTATGTAAATATGATAGTCTAAAAAAAATTATGTATATATTGTACGAGTAAAGTTTCCAATCCTAATAAGGGAAACTAATTCGAACTCCAGCAAAAATGTTGTAGAAAATGTATGTTAATATTTGTATATGTTTTCTGATAAGGGAATATTTGTATGTGTTTCATTTAGGAATATAAAGTCATGGTTTACAACATGAAACCTTTTTTTGATAAAGCATTCATCGACCACATCAATTCAACATGAAACTTAATTTATTGTTTTGAACACATATTGCCAATTATTTGTTATTTTATATACATTCTTATGTTTTGCTTATGTTTTGCTTATGTTTTGCTTATTTTTGTCAATTTTTGATCAACCATTATTAAATACCTTATACATAAAACATCTCTTTTTTTTTGTCAAAAAATGATAAAACATCTTATAATATATCTATAAGAACAATCTACATAACATCAGCACTATATAAAGTATTAAAATATATGAAAGTTGTGGTTTTCTATTGAAGTAGACCGCTTGAACTATATTCTTATTCTTGGCCTCATATTTTATGCAAACTCAGCACTATAGAGGCTAATTAAAATACGTACGTGAAAGTTTACGTGGTCGAAACATAAATGGAAACGTCGTCCGCCATCGCATCCTCTGGAGACATTTGTTCTCCGTCTCTCATCTTTCCCCAAACTACAATGGAGATTCCAATGATAATGGTTCCAGCACCAACAACCCTGTTTCAAAGAAACAAATACAAGTCAAGTTATATTGTTATGGTGGAGATGTTAGAAAGAGGTATTATCATTTTAATAAAACATTTCTCATACTAACCTCCCTACGTATAGTTCTTCAGACATGGCTACCGAGCTAATGATGGCGGTAATAACTAGTTTGAGCGGACTAAACATGCTCAAGTACACGGGACTCTTAATCTTTCACAACCATCCTGTGATGTAATACTCAGCAGCTGAAAGACATCCCTAAAAAAACAAAAGTCATTAAAATACACCAAGTTTAACCCAAAAGAAAAAAAAATATAATTTAATTTACCTACCCCATACAAGGAAGCTAGCAGAGTGACATTTGGGTTTGGCTTCCACACAGACATTCTCTCTCCCTCCCAAATCAGTGCCGCTATGGCAGACTCGAATGTCCCCAGCACGGACATGAGAGCCATCATGGACAACTTCGCAGGATAGAGCACTAATAACTTGGACAATATCTATAAGACTATAACAATCTACATAACGTCAGCCCTATATAAAGTAACTAAAATATATGAAAGTTGTGGTTTTCTATTGAAGTATACCGCGTGAACTATATTCCTATTCTTGGCCTCATACTTTATGCAAACTCAGCACTATAGAGACTAATTAAAATATGTATGTGAAAGTTTACGTGGTTGAATTTGTAAAGTGACTGCGTCCGCGTGAGGCGTGAGCAAACCTCTACATTCTGAAATATATATAATTGAACGTTTTCACTTAGTGGAGTTCTAAAAAAACTTCATCAATTAATCAAGACGTAGTTTTCTAAATAATAAAAACGGTTGAATGGCGCAGCAATATCTCTAACTAGAATTGGGTCTAGGTCAACCTTATCCATGGAATGTAAGGAAGACATTGACGGATTTCGATGTAAGCATAGCGAAACTCGAGCTGGAAGCGGAAATGGGGGATGATCTAATCATAGGCATGGAAGTGAGTGTGGAGGATGTAAACAGTGAGCATCCTTACTCGGTAACGATTAGAAGAGCGGGATAAACGATAGCTACTAGCTACTTGGGAAACAGTTGGACCGTCATCAAAAATGCAAAAGGTCTCAACAAGGAAAATGTGATTGGGCTTAGCTGGAATAAATAGAAATGAAAATTGGATTTCAAACTAATTCGTTGATGATACTCTTTAGCTAATTTGATGATCTTGGTTTTGTTTTCTCTTAGTTGTTTGTCATTTAATGAAGTTGTTTCATATTTAGTTATGACGTGTGAGCTTTATGACTTACTTCAAGTTGTAGAAGTATGTTTTTGCTTAGATTTATGAAAATTATTTGTTTGTTAGAAACTAAACACACTTGCATTTGGTTGACACAAATCTGACAATGGCGTTTCTCTTTCTCCAATATCATATTTCATTTATTTTTTTTATAATAATAGAAAGGATGGTTTCAAATTGAGTGACATTTTCATTATTTTATGGTTTATCTTTGAGTTTTAAATTGAGAAATATTATTAAGTAACAAACGAAATTTTTTTATTCAATTGCTTTACGGTTACTTTATAACGATACGAATGATAGACGAATATGTTATTGTCACTAAATCTTGTAGCTTTTACTGCTATTTTTTATGAGTAAATAAAATGTAAGAGAAACTCATAGCATTATAACATTAGCTGAAGCAAGCAAGCACAAACAAAAATCAGATCTTCTTAGCAAGTTCTTGAGCTTTACGCAGCATCCTCTCTTTCTTGATCTAACACTTCTCTAGTTTCAGAAGAAGATGAAACAGCAGCTGCATTAGCCTTTGAATACAAACCCAGCTTCTCCTCTAGTTTCTTCCACTCGGTTACTAAACGCGGAGGGAATTTCTTCTTCACGGTCCTGGCCACTCCTCTTGCATCTTCCATTCTGTTATTCTTCACCAATCCTTCAGTCAAATGCTTACAAGTTTTGAAATCCGGAATCTTGTGCACAATCGCACTCTTCTTAAACACCGTTAAACCTTGATCATACAACCCGTTTATACACAGATGAAATATCAATGTCCTGAACGTCGCTGCGTTTGGTTGCTCAAGCCCTTCATACACTTTCTTGGCTTCACCCATCATTCCTTTCACACAGTACGCAGTCATAAGATAGTTATAGCTAACCGTATCAGGTTTCAATCCAACACTAGTCATTTCTTCCATCAATTCCTCAACTCTTTCGGGACTTTCCTTCGCAGCATTCATAAGTCTAACATTATAAACCGTGTTATCCAATTCACAACCTTTACTCACCATCTCGGTCCACAAGCTTTCCGCTACATCGACTAACCCATTCTTATACAAAGATCCTAAAATGGTAGTGAAAGCAATGATAGTAACTTCCACACCCTTAACCTCCATATCTCTCATAATCTCCATAGCTTTTTCAGGCGAACCAGAGTCACAATACGACTTAATCAACATACCATAAGAGACTTTATCAGGAGTAATATTATTATACCTCTGAGGAATTTCGTCGAACAGTTGGGGGACTCTTTCAAACAAATCAGAATGAAGACAAGCAGCGAGAAGGGCATTGAAGGAAACAACGGTTCTTGGTGTCCCGATCTGATCCATCTCCTTGAACATGTTCATAGCATGATCAAACATTGAAGCTCGTCCATAAGATCTGATAAGTGTAGAGAGAAAAGTCTCTGTTTTGATCTTTGGGTTGTTTTTGTGAGACTCAATTAGAGCTTCTATGTCAGAGAAGCGTTGAGATTTAGCGAGGCGTTGGACTGTGAGCTCCATGGCGTAGCGAGAGGAGAGTGGAGATGAGGAATTGTTGGAGACGGATTTGTAAATCGCTAAGGCTTTGTCTGGATCGTGAACTTTGCGGAGTTTGGATTTAGCTTTGGAGATAGTGATTGCGTCGGAAGATGCAGTGGTTTGAGAATCTACAGAAGCGGCGGTGGAGAAACGGCGGAGGAAGCGGAGATAGAGACGAGACGACGTCATTACAATCGTCGGTATATTGAAAATTGCCTTTAGGGTTTAAGACTCGAAGGAATGGTTTTTCAGTTTTGTAGGTAAGTTTGACTTTTTCTTATTTCACACTGACCTTTTGATAACGGGACAGTAAAAAATTTAAATAAAAGTCGTAATAAATAGTAATATTTGTAAAATTTTGTGTATAATTTGGGAAAGCTATAAAAACAATTGTTCGTTAAAGCGGGCTAGGCGCGGTCTTCTAGACGTTGTATAGACGCTAGGCGTTTTTAGACCACTTCGATTTTTTTTAAATCGATATAATTAAGCGGTGGGTAGATTTAGCGGACTATGCTGCAACTAAGCACTAGACAGCCATTAGGCGAGTTTGAGCGGGCTAAACGAATTTAAATGTGTCTTAATATTTTAAAAGTTTAAAAAGATAAATTTAAAATTATGTTTATAGATACCTATACTTTTTCTTGTTGACTGTTTCATGTTTCAAAGCCTTATTAGTCTTGAGGTTCTTCAAAGCCTATATAGTAGAGTCAATATCCTTCATTTTCTTGTTGACTGTATCATGTTTCATAAGATGGACACAATAAAGTCAAAAATGTGGTTAACTAAAACACAAGTCAACGAAGAAAAATCTATATATAATAGCAAACCCACCTTTTTGGATCTGCTGACGTTTTTATAATCTAACGGTTGAGAACGAAAAAGAAGAAAAACTAACGGATGAGATTGTTTTATTAAAGCAAAAGTAGCGTCTCTTATTAAAGCAAAACTAACGGTTGAGATTACTTTTTCTTCCGAGTCAATGCCTCTCTAAAAACAGA